CAGACACCAGGGCTGCCACACCATACGCTGCACATCACAACCTGACTACTCGGCTGTGGCATTTACGCAGCTCACACAGGCGCCTGGGGAGGTGAATAGATGCCGAGGAAACAATTCGTCCTCAAACAAGAGTCAGATATTCATTCCTGCCTGAGGGGAGGGACACTTTGTGAGGACGGCACCTGGCTAGTCGCTCAGCTTCTCCATCCAGCCTGAGTTTAGCCCCAGGATATAAGCTTGAGCAGCCAGCAAACCAAAACTAAAACAGCTGATTAGTTAAAATCTGGAATGTATAAGGGATTGCAAACAGCACTGCTGTAAGTTATAATTCCAAAGTCTGACACAAAGGTACATTCAAGAGTTTATTCCTACGTTAGCAGAAATAAAAGCAATTTTTAGCGTAATAAGTACTAACCAGTCTTGAAGTCACAGAAATGACTGCTTTCTAAAGATATCTTAACACTCCGGACCTTGACCACCAGACACCCCACTACAGCAGCAGCAGCACAAGCAATTTTATTAGGTTCCAGCTGGAATGCCCACCTCACTAAGTGAACCAGAACCTGCATATCAGATAGCCACACTGAACAGAACCAAGATGGAACAAAAGATAGAAATATTAAGGAAGCTGGTAAGATTACTCAATGAGCTCACGACAATACATATCATTATAAATGTTCATATGCCTACATTCATGCTATGTAAGTATACATTTTATACAATAATCTTTCATTGCATTTAAGACACTATTGCTTCGAATTCACATCCCAATTTCAGAGATGCTAACATAAGGAACAAGGCATCCAAGAATTATTGAGACACAGGCCCCATAATTATACATATAATTATAATAATACATGATCACTATTGAGAAGTTATTTTATATCAGGTGCCACTCTAGGTGCTTTTAGACTAATCGATTCTTCTAAAAAAATCTAGGGGGAGAGGGTAGGTGCTTTGTACGTTTTCATTTTGTAGATAATGAAATTGAGATTAACTTGTCCAAGGATACAAAGCCATCATGTGGTGTGGGCTGGCTGCAAACTCCAAACTCATGCTCACATCCCTGTGTTTACTGTGTGTCCACGTGGGGCACTTCTCGAGAAGGTCCAAAACCTGTTAGGGCTGGGAGAGACTTGAAAGGGAGGATAACCTTATCCTTTGAAAACAGTAGGTAGGAGACAGAGCCAGAGCCACTTGGGCTTTTTGTTTTGCTGTAAACTGATAGATACGTTCATTGTGCATGAATACCCCCCCCACATACAAACACAATGATGTGGCATAAGGAAAGCAGGTGTATAATTATAATGTCTGCATTCTGCTGGTAGGCTTGGACTGCCTATCTCTCATCACTATATACCCCAAAGCACTTAACAGTGACCTGCATTTGAGTAAAAATTAAACGTCTTCTCAGTGAGTGAATAAATGCAAAAAAAAAATAAGCTGTTGTGGGGGGGGGCGGGGGTGTTACAAGTGCAGTGATGCTGGGCACAGAGGATCTCAGACACTGCTCCTAGCTGGATCAGAACCTAGATCATCAATGCCACAAAGGGATAAGCAGATGGAGATGACAAGTGGAAGAAGAGATCTTTTTTTTTTTAATTATACTGGGGTCCTTGCAAAAGGGGGGCCGTCTCATACATTTTTCACTAGCTCAAATGATAAAATATTGATTCAGAATTCACAATTAATCCTTATAAGCAGACCAGGTTTTTAATAATTCAGTCACATCTCTCCGTGGTCTTGTTGGCTCCCTCCCCATGGCTGAGCAGAAACTGCTTGTTGAAAAGACGGACAGTTTTTACCCACGAGCATCAGCTCAAATTCCCGTAATTACACATCATGGTAAATATTAATTCTTTCTAAGTGCTTAGCTTCAGTCCCAAAACACTTTCCAAAGGAGAAACATAGTCCATTCTTTTCTTTCCATGGCCACTTGAAACCTGTTTTCTTTCATATGTTCTATTGGATGTATTCTTGTTTTGACTTCTAATTAGTTCTGAAGCCCTTTGAGTTACAAAATACACTATGGCTTTGAGGCTGTAGATGCAAAATGACACGTGGATAGCCTCTTAAAGGGCTGCATAAGGGGTAAATGGAAACATGAGTCTCTGTCTCTGTCATCAACCTGCTTGGAGAACGTATGGCTCCCTAGTTGGCTTCAGTCTCCTTATTTGGAAAATGTAGGACCCCTTAAGGCCTCTTTTGACTTAAATACCTCAGTTGAACTTCAGTCCCATTATTCTTTGAGTTCAGGAGCTATGGTTCAAATACTGCAGAGTGCACAAAGTAAGAGAGACAGTATCTTAATCAATAAAAACAATTTCTTATTTCAGTAGAGAAGATGCCAGCTGTGGGGTCCCTCAATTCCTAAAGACTTGAGAGTGTCTGTGATCTGGTGTTTGGTCTGCCTCAAAAGTAAACAAATTCCCGTCTAAGCTATATGCTCAGTAGATTCTGATGATACAATCCAGTCATTTCAAACATGTACATGTCACATTTTTCTTTTGTTTTTGCATCTACATGTCTTTGGCAGTCATCTTGGGTTCACAGGGTAAGAACACAGACCATCATATAATCTTGGATGTTTACAATCTCCATGCTAGTGTGTCAACTGCATAGATGTGGTTTCAGAATGAAGGAGAGATTTAAATTTCCAATGAGGTTTTCAGACACAGGAGTTTAAAAAGTATTTTAGATCAAACAGGCTCCTCTGGCTCTGTCTCCTAACCTTCTCTAAACTTAATGCAGTTTCTTCTCTTCTTCCCCTTAATAATATCTGTTCCCATTCTTTGGTTCTATTTTCCTACTCTGATGACAAACCTCAGTACCAAGTGATAAGGAAAGACTGCCAGGCTGGGAAACAAACTTGGTCCTTCTTTAGCTACCAGAAAGCTTAGCACCAAGTGGAGGTTTAACTTTGACAACAATATACTCTTACAGTATGACAATCTACATTTACTTTTTGCTTTGTTCTGATCCATTAAATTCATCAATGGGTCTGACTTTTTGGGTCTTCTTTTCTTATATAAATATGCAAATATGTATCTGTCTTGCTATAAGTCACCTCAAATGCTTTGTGAGGGGAAAAAAGTTTAATATGCGCTTGGAGCCATTTCCTTAGGTAAACTATTTCTTCAAGTGATACACTTACAGAAAAGTCAACTGGGAAAGGTTTCAGAGACAGTAATTCTGTGTATCAACTTCCTGGATAAATAACAATGTATTTAAACAATCACCTTGAAATACGTCACATTTAAAACACGAGGGAACTTTCCATCTACCTGTGACACAAGAAAGCATTATTATTATCCAATTACTCATGCAAAAACTGAAAAACGATGACTTCAGCCTGGGTCGGGGTGGGCTAGTTAGTCATTCAAGCAGAACTGGAGGCTAGGTTTTTAACTCTTGGTCTTGTATTTGTTCCCCAGTTCAGCTCTTTCCCAAATTGTGTTGCACTAGAGATACTGTTCTATCATATAGCAATTATGTTTCATACTATATCTCCCTCTTGGGGAGGTATTACCAGAAATAAACTGCCTTAGAATCATGTATCCCAGATTTCTCATGAATTCTATCCCATGTCTACCCAACAAGTACCACCCCCCAAACTCCAGAATACCTAGTAATATCCTGCAGGGGTACTAGTGCGCTGGGAACCTAACCGGAGGAAGTCACCTGAGACCATCATCAGAGCACGACAGGGTGGTAGCTCTAGTCTCGACAGCCCTCCAGGCACCTGCCTCCCAGACCTGAACTCATGCACCTGACTTCTGTAATATACAAGCTAGGTCAACTCATTCTGGTATATTATTTACATTCTCAACGCCTGCTTCTTTCATAATAGAAAGAGGGTAATAAAGATCTTTTGTGCTGGTTGTAAAAACTAACTGAAAGAATATGCAGATGATACCTAAATAATAATGCAATCAGTCATTACTGTTGCTAATAGGGCTTGTACCGTCATCATTTCCATCTGCTGCCGGCCTCTCACGACACAAGGATATGCTTATGTAGGGACTGACTGCTGCCTTCTGCTGGAATTGTTAGAGTCTATTTTTACCTCCTATGACAAACGAAGGTCGTTGATCTTTTCACAAAACCTCTCAAATTCTTGTCAGCCCTTTACTCAATACTGGCCCTCTCAGCAGTGGTTACACTGACCTTGCAAATAGTAAAAAGATGGGTAATTAGCCATTCTCTCACGTCATCCAGACCATCATACCAGTCCCTTTAAAGCGGGGTGATAAAATTTGTAATTTTTATGAGGCTTACCCTGCAGGTGCTAACGATAAAATATGCCACAGAAAGGCAGTGGGTAACAGAAAGAAGGGCTACCTGAGTTTTAAAACACGACCCTAAGAAACCCAGCTCAGTCCCACCAGCCATGTTCCGTGCTTCAGAATCCAAGAGAATGGGTACCTGCAACTACAAATACATCCATAGCAAAGTCTCCTTTTCCCTCCTTCTTCCCTCTCCCCTATTTATGGGTTTATGTATCATCGAGGTGTATCGCTCCATATTGGGCAAAACGGAGTATATCTAAGGAGTTAACTGTGAAAGTCATTTTTCTCCTATTAATAGAATCCATCATCAGCTCAAATAAGTTTTCGTGAGTGTGGGATAAAGAAAGCTGAGGCTTAAGACCCCTTATTTGAATGGCCCTGTTATTTTCACTTTTGACATCACAAACCTTTTTTTGGCCCAAAGTAGATTTTTTTTTCCACTTCTCTGCTTATAATTTGTCAACAATCACCAGCTTAATTTGTCCTACTTCCTCTCTCCATATCATCTGGGGATTTAAACTTGCCCTATTGATTCTCTATCATGCAAATCCTTCCTATAAACTAATCTATTCATTCAGGACGTATCAGCAGTTATTAATAAGCAGAACACAATGGCAAAGTTAAATACTGCAGATGAGTTAGAAAAAGAAGTGACTAATGCACTAATCCAAATTCTTCTCTGTTGGCAGAAAAAAAAATTGTTTTTCTTACCTTTTCTTCTGATAACAGTTGTGTAGGTGTGTACGCGTCTAACGGAGGATTAAAATGCTGGTGACTTCCTTTTAAAACGCATTGTGACTTGGAGCCTAGTAACAGAAGATTTTCATGGTTTCAGACTTTTTTTGAATTGACAAAACAAATATCTCTACTGCAGTTTTCTTTTCAACTATAAAGAGTCTCTGAAGCTGAGTCCCTTTTGTGTAGGCTAACACAAAGGAGCGCTACATAATTTCTGAAAACAAAAACTTACAAAATGCCCCGAAGACTAACCCAACCCACCGAAAAACTCATCCGCTTGTGAAGAAGACATTGTCTTTCTAGGAGAAACTGGCTTCTCCTCTTGTTCTTGAGTTGGCTTTTAACTCCTGCGTTCTGATTGCTCAAGACAAGGATTCACAACTGCCTACATTAGAAACACCTGGCTTTTCCCCAGCTTAATTCAATCAGGATCGAGTCTGGAAACTTGTTGTTCAAAGCGAGGTTTGTGAACCAGGGGCACTGGCATCAGTTAAAGAGAATTTATCAGAAATGCAAAATCCCAAGCCCCACCTCAGATCTACCGAATCAGACCCTGCATTTCAGCAAGACTTCCAATGGTCTGTGCACACATTTAAACAAACAGATGCCTGAGTCTCTTCATCAGAGATTCTGTTTAATCTGCTCTGAGATGGGGCCTGGGCAGCAGTTCTCAAAGTGTGGTCTCTGGGTTAACATTAACATCATCACCTGGGGAAGCCTTAAAAATACAAATTACTGGGCCCCATTCCTACTGAATCAGAAACACTGGGCGTGGGGCCTACGAATCTGTGTTGTAACAAGTATTACGGGTGATTCTAATGCAAGCTAAAGACCAAAACCCCTTGCTCAGGAAGAGATAGCAAACTTATCAGTATATTCACAGTTTATTTCCCGCATATTATAGGTAAAAAATGAGCTTATAGCCTCGACCTACATACTCAGAACATTACGCACACATGAGATTAAAGATGGTGCACTTCACTGAAGCTTTCTCTTGCCTAAATATGAACCAAGATGAATGTAATTCAAGATAGGCCAACTTGTAGCCAAAGTGAGTGAAGCCAAACTGAAAAATGAAACAGTATTCCTGGTGACAGGGGTGTATGAACTTAACCATTCCTGAAACCTGCCCTGTTATATAAGCAAGTGAGTTCCATTGCAGGTGAACTGGTTTGAGCTGGATTACATCTTGTTTGAAACCTAGAAAACTCTGGTGTTAAGGCACTTTCCACATCCAGTGGAAACATTAAAGAGGACAATACCTCTGATGAGGTTGCACAACCTATAGTTTCAAACCTCCAGTGATCAGAAATTCACCTCCTTCAGTGAAAATTCTTCCCTCTTAGAACCGATTATTAGAAATGCCCTTCCTCTATTGAACTGAACTCTGAAAAAGTTATATTTTACAATCCAAAATGTTTAATTTCCTCTACCACGTATGAAACAACCCTTTAACATTTGAAGGTATGTCTGCTGCTCCCCACAAGTCTTCTCTTCTTTGAATAAATATCCTGGTTTCCTTTCCATCATAATACGATTTTGAGCGCCCTTACCCATCCTAATTGCTTGAGCCTGGGGACTTAAAGAGTTTTATAAATTTCTCTTAAACAGTGCTTTACAAATAGTTCTGTGTTACAAGTATGATCTGACCCATGCAGAGAACATGCCAAGTATTCTTGGAATATTAAATTGAACTATGCATAATATAAGTTTCTTCTTCATGTTGCTGCCAAACAATATATGTGATTCAGTGATTCTCAAATAGGTAGGAGGGAGGTTCCCAAAATCTTCTGGGGAAACTTTTTTTTTCCTCCAATTTTACACAATTTTGTCACCCCTCACATTTACTATCATTTGACTGAAAACCAAAGAAGTTTCAAACTGTTCTATAACCAAGATCTGACACTATCACTCTTCTGGTCTAATTGCTTCATTGATTCCTTCACTCTGTAGTTATCTGCAACTTCTTAGCATCTTAATTCAAACTTCTCTACTTATTCTTAGTTATTTAACTTTACTAAAGTTCAGTTTCTGCTTTTATAGGTGGATAATAACGCCCTTATCTTAGGATGGTGCAAAGATTAAATGAGATGTATTATTTGTAATATACATAAACACAATTTCAGTATCTGCATATACTCAACATTCAATAAATCTCAGCTTAAAAATAATAGCATACAGGGCTTTCATGAACTCATTTTTATGTACCTTCCCAACTTCATGTGCTTTCAGCCCTTGTATCCCAAATTCCAAACATTCTCGATGATGTATAATTTCTGTAACATGCAGATTATTCTAAAATGCCTCAGTTTCCAGCCAAATACAACACCAAAGTCCTTTTTTTTTAGCATATATTTCTATTCTACAACATAACCCTGTTATGCACTTGTCCTATAGTTTCTGTAGACCAAAAGATAGTATGTTACAAGGATCAAAATTCAATTTCACCTCTTCAGATTAGATCCATGATTTCAACATTTAATTTGTGTTATTTTTAATTTTTCCCAACTCTGTTTGTAATGTATTAATTACATATTCTCCGCCATCATTCTTTAAGCCCTAAATAGGTAGAACACTGAGGGGATAAAGTTTCTGATAATAAGAAGCTTACACTCTAAGAAAGATGGAATTCAATTCAAGAACAATGGCAAAATAAAACACTAACAAGTTAGAACTTCTGTATGCTAGAATAAATATATGACTCTGATTATATATGTACTAAATGGAAATCTGAATAAATGAATTATCAGAGTAGGAAAATCTTGAAAGATAACTTGGAGAAAACTATTTTGGGGATGGAATTTCAAGTCCCCACTCGATAAGGACTGATGAACAAGAGAGGAGAAGACAGAATTACTGTGAGGAGCTGTGTGTAAGAATGGCCGGGGGCAGGGATGAGCAGGCTCTGCATTACTTAATGAAAGTTGATATAAGTCTCCCAAGCTTTATTTTCCTAAGGTAAGTAAATACTTCCATTTGGATTCTCTACCTGTGTTTACCTAAACTTATCAGTAGTTGCCAGAGATTCATGGGTAAAGCCTTAGTGCATGCTAACTATTTTAGAGATGTCTGGTCTGGAACAATACGTGACTGGTCCACGTATTTGCATTCCAAAGAAAAATACTGCCAATGTGGGAAAATGTTTTATCCAAATCCTTGGAGATGGAAAAAGGAGAGAATTAAAAGTATGATTAACAAAGACATTTTCATGTTTTGCTCTTTTGATTAATCTTCTCTGTATTGTATGAATACCCACAATATGCAATGTACCATCTGGAAAAATAAACACAGGAAAGCTGCAGGGCTAATGTTTTATAAATCTCTTGATTCCAACATTCTCTGGTCTCTGAAGAGTTATAAAATAGATACAGAACCAGCGTGCTGTCTTGTCTTTTCCAACTTTCTGACTCATGTTAACTAGTTTCGGTTATAAAACTTGGACTATATCTGCAATTGCTCAAAACATCTAGATTGGAATATTTTAAGCAATCACTTTTAATATGGTATAATAATTGTTGCAAATATTTTTATAGTCAACTTTTTTTTCTCATGAAAAAATTATACTCGGTAACTAATTTATGCAAAGCTCTGCTAATCACCACTGGAAGTTTATAATGCATTAAGTGTACAAAAACAGGTACACCATTATTAAAACTGCATGACAATGCTGGATAAGACACAATAAAATTCAATTGGCAATCACTGTCAATAAGGAAATCATTGGAAAAGGGGTGAAATTTGAACTAAGACTGGGTAGAAAAAAATAGCATGATTTTGTTGGGAAGGACTTGCCAGTAGGTGAAAATGGCAGGAGGAAGGTGAAATCTTAACCATGAAATTTTTTCAGGATCCCTCAGAAAACAAACTTGATTAAGCTAGGTAGGATCTGAAATATCAACCCAGTCAAAGCTGCTAAAAGACCAGCTATCTTTCGGTTTTGCATTTAGAGGGAAAGTTTTGTTTGGCAGGGCACTTTGTCTGCTTTGAATAATATTGATCTTTAAGTAGCAGAAATTTGTGGGGGGTTTTTGCCTTGCTCCCATAAGCTATCTACGCCAATTATACTATAAAATTGTGTTGTGTATAAATATCTAAGAAAAAATAAATTAAAAAGTATATTACTTACAGTAGTGAAATCTTTGCTTAAGAATAGAAAAAACAAGGAGAGGGATTATTAAATATTAAAATGTCTGATAACTCATGACAAAGATTTCACTCGGCTTCTTCTGTTACTACAAAACCATTTTAGACTGGGACATAATACTGAGCACAGCTATCTACTCTTAATTTAGATAGTAATTCCTTGAGATAGAGCTGAGGGAAAGCACAATTCCCAACTCAGATTATTTTTTCCCCCAAACTAAACGTGGACAGATCTACTGACAAACTATCTATCAAGCTTTTAAAATAAATTATATCAGTTAATGAATGTATAAGAATACATTGATCAGGAGGCTCTACATTGGCAAGGCATAATAAAAGGTGTGATAACAGGATAGTCTTTTAGGAAGCTGGTTCTGTATGAGTGAGAAATCTTTTTTTTTTTTTTTCAAGTTTTGGGTATTCAGATTATACCTAGAATCTGACACTGGGATGGTAACAAAGAGAAGTTGAAATAAATATATATATATATATATATATATATGTGTGTGTGTGTGTGTGTATGTAATATTAAGTGATGTTTTATGTAGTTTTCCTTTTTTGGTCTTCATTCTTATTTCAAAGCATTTGCTTTTTTAATGAATCAATTGTGATATTTTTAATCCATATAACTCTAATATTTCCTCTTTTCCCTCTTCATTCCCAATGAAGTAATGCGGCAATTACTGTTCAGTGCCTATCCTTCTATGATGGCTTTCCATCCACATATAAATGCACATGTGTGTTTTTCTTTTTCCTCTTTTTTGGATAAAATAGGATTATAAACATATATTATTCTGTATATTTTTCTTGTTAACAATAACACGGCCCTCTTACCAGGTCAACACATGCAGACATAACCTACTTTTATTAGCTTCATACTGTTTCATAAAATGAACACCCATAACTTCTTCAAACATATCCCCTG